ATAAATAAATAAAAAGTTTTAAGAAAAATTATTTAAGAAAAATCTTTTATTATTAATAGTTATTAATAGTTATATAGTTTTTTTTCGGATTTTTATACATAAACAATAAATTTAATTATATGCAAAAAATACCAATAACATAAATAAATTTAATTATATGCAAAAAATACCAATAACATAAATAAATAAGTATACTAATAATTAATAATTTTTAGGCAGCTAAATGTTTAGACGCAGAACTTTGATCTAAATTAACAGAAAAATGCAGAAGAATCAAGAGCTGAAATGCCCATGTTATTCAATTTAGATGCTTGGGTAGCACCAGTACCTTTAAATTGATTCGAAGCAACCACATTTAAAGGTTTAATATTTTGAACTTAGGTAAGTTCTTGATCCGAAGATTTAAGCTGATTTCTTTTATGAAATCATTATCATATTTGATGATTCTTTATCTTTTGAAGATGCAAAATTATTAGCATTAGTTGCGGACATTTGAGCCGACTTAAAATTCGCTGCTTCAAGATTTTGTATGTCTTGAAGTTGATTAGACGAAAAGGACGGTATAGAGTTAGGATGTATTCTTTTACGAAAACTCGTTTTTGATGATTCTTTATCTTTTGCACTCGCAAAAGTATTGATCTCAGTTGCTGACATTCCATTTTCGTTAAAGCTCTCGGCTTCAGTATTTTCGATATCTTGGTTCTGATTCGAAACAAAGACCGATGGTTGTTTTTCTACTATAGAACGCTTCTGATCCGAAGATTGAGATTGATTTCTTTTCTGAATAATCGTGTTCGACGACTCTTTATCTTTTGAACTCACTAAACTATTAGAGTTAGTTGTGGATATCTCAACATTATTAAAGTTTGCGGCAGCTACGTTTTCAATGTCTTGGTCCGAGCGTTTATGATCCGAAGACTGGGGTTGATTTCTTTTATGAACCTTGGTGTGTGATGACTCTTTATCTATTGAATTCGAGAAGGTACTAGAACTAGTTGTGGCTAAGTTAATCGCGTTCTGGTTCGAAGCTTCAATGTTTTCGATATCTTGGCCTTGATTCGACATGAAAATCATTGGATGCGGTTCAGCAGAACGTTTATGATTAGTTGCCATAAAATTAGATTGGTCTTCGATATAGAAATCCCTTGCGAATTTATTTTTTGGCAAATCTATAAAGTTTCTGCGTTCGTATAAAGGAAGCGGTTTAAATTGAAAGTTCGAGTATGGATAAAGTGTACCCGCAGGTCCGCCATGGAATAAATAGTGATACCCTCCACCATAGAATTCATTAGTCATAAAGTCTTCAGGTGAGTAATCGTAATATGAAGAAGGATAAAAGTTTGGATTCAAGAAATATTCTGGAGGATATGAATACGGATTCATATAAAAAT